GCATGTAGAGGTGGAGGCAGCCAACGAGATGCTGGAGCACATCACCCTCGAGGAAGATGAAGATGAGGACTTCAGGGATGGAACAGAGGATGCACTGTTGGTGCTCTGCGGCTCTCTGACATCATCCTGGAGATAGTATCTGATGACTACATCCCTGCAGAGATGCATGACTCCATCCCTGATGACACTACAGAAGTCCCTGTTGCGGTAGATGGAAATGCTAGTTCACCATTTCAGGGGTTGTGTTGTTGATTGGGTTGAAGACATGATTTACATTTTATCACAGCACTTAAAACGTATGTAATTACAGGCTGTGGATCAGGATGGCCTCACTGGCATGGCCAATGTTGACAAGCTGGCAGCGTACCTGGTAGAGCTGCGTAGTTCTTCTGGCCTCATTCTGACAAACCAGCCAGCTGCCACTATAATATCCTTGTGGAAGAAGCTGAGCCAGCGTAACAAGGACCGGATTGTTTATGCTGCCCATCACCAAAACAGGCTGGTGATTTATCGCTTTCAGTCACAAAAAAACAAGACCGGTATCCCTGGTGTGGAGAGCACAAGGAGTTGCACTCAGGGAAGCGGGGGTTAATCTGCCCAGTGGCCTGACCACTGCCGTGTGGTAGAGACCATGTTCACCTACCTGACTGTGTGGCATCTACCCTAGTCCTCAGAAGGGGAAGGAGGCTCTGACAATGTGGACCCTCATTCTGCGGGACTACAAGAAGATCAGGCAGCTGGTGGTGACCAACAGGCTGGTCATGCAGCATACCACACTGCAGCTGTATGAAGTGAACCAGACCACCTTAGTGCAGTGGCACAACAGCAGGCAGAAAACCCAGGATGTGTCAGTGCTCCTTCAGGGCCATTCAGCTCCCTCCCCCATGCCCACAAGCCACAGAGCCTCTGCAGCCTGCAAAAATCTGCCCTGCTGCCCCTCAGTACAACCAAGAAGAGCATGTATAACATCTAACTCCACGCAGCAGGGCAGGCCAAAACTAAATGCAGAGCCCCGGTTGGACCACTTCCGATCATGCCAAAGCGCTAGCTGTCTGTGTCACCAACTGTCTGTGGCACTAGTGGTGGTGGACTGGTTTTTCAAGTCCTGAACCGCCCTGAACAGTGCTTCATGCCATTTGTTTCCCAAGTGACGTTCCAGACAAGACCGGCACCCACAGCAGCTTCATCCGTAACCTTACACACCCACACAAAACGAGCTTACAAAAGGCAATACCATTTTTTTTAATTGGGCAGTTCAAGAACAAGCAGACAGGCACTGCCTTTATAAAGGCAGTGTTTACTGCCCCCAAGCAGACTCTCTCCAAAGACCAGTGGTTGGAGACAGTGCGCAGGCAGCAGCAGTGAGAGACTCCCTATTTATGCCTGTTCATGTTATAGTTGTCTCAACATTTCCATGTGTGTGTTTTAACTACTGTGTTGGCCATGGCATGGGTTTGTTTTTTATTGTACCCTATTGCTGGGTTTTTAACTTCCCTGGGAAAAATTATGATTATATAGAAAAAAAAGAATGGAAATGTATTTAAAATCATCAATAATTGCATAATGTTCTCTTTCCATCTATCCACCAACTCAAGCCTCTCTTTTCCACCTACACTCTAGCTGCATCACCATCAGTTTCCCTCAAACACATTTGACACTGTTATTTTTGTGCCTTACATATTGTTCACTTTGCACTTCTGTTGTTGTTGTTGTTGTTGTTATGTTATATATTTGTTTAGGTAATAAACAACTGGAATGTTGCTTAAATTGTCAGTCTATATTTTAGTTCACATCAGGCTATTCTTAAGTGTTTAAAAAAATCAAAAAGCATAATACAGATGGGGAATCAATTCCAGTAGATTTAAGCCTTAACAGATATATTTTGTCTATCATAAAAACATTTGTTTTCATAAGTGGAATTTCACTATTTTTCTCCTTGAAATACCCTTCTATATACTCCTATTTTTTTTATTCTCCTCTCTCTTTGACCTGAACGCCAAGGAGATCAAAGTTGACCCAAAGTGTACACATTTGTAGGTAATTTACATTAAAGGTTAAAGAAGCTATATGTAATCTTTTTGCATTGTATTTTCAGAAAATGTCCTTAATATAGCTTCAGTAACAGTGGAATGACAGTGTTTCACAATGTTTTTTAAAATATTTTTGGGTGATAATCCATAGTGTACAGAATCATTGTACCATTAAATAGCTGTCAAATATATTTTAAATAACGAAAAATATAGTATTTCAGCTGTTTGAAAGTGATGGATGAAAATGAAAGTAAAAGACTCCAAATTGTTTGCACTAGATTCCCCCATGTTGTTGGGAAATGAGGTGCGAGGAAGAGCTGTTTATATTCAGGAAGCAAAGTTACACTAAGTACCTTAAAAAAAAATCCCTTCCTGAAATTATAAAATATACTGAACAAAAATATAAACGCAATATGTAAAGTGTTGGTCCCATTTTACATGAGCTGAAATAAAACACTCAATAATTTTTCCATACACATAGAAAACGTATTTCTCTGTATTTTTTTGCACACATTTGTTTACATCCCAGTCAGTGAACATTTCTCCTTTGTCAAGATAATCCACCCACTTGACAGGTGTGGCATATCAAGAGGCTGATTAAACAGCATGATCATTACACATGTGCACCTTGTGCTGAGGACAATAAAAGGCCACTCTAAATGTGCAGTTTTGCCACACAACACAATGCCACAGATGTCTCAAGTTTTGAGGGTGTGTGCAATTGGCATGCTGACTGCAGGAATGTTCACCAGAGCTATTGCCAGAGAACTTAAAGTTAATTTCCCTACCAACGTCATTTTAGAAAATTTGGCAGTATGTCCAACCGGCCTCACAAGTGCAGACGACGTGTAACCACGCCAGCCCAGGACCTTCAAATCTGGCTTCTTCAACTGTGGGATCATCTGAGAACAGCCATCCGGACAGCTGATGAAACTGAGAAGCATTTCTGTCTGTAATAAAGCCCTTTTCTGGGGAAAACTCATTCTGATTGGCTGGGCTTGGCTCCCAAGTAGTTGGGCCTTGTCCCATGTCTGCGCTCCTGCCCAGTCATGTGAAATCCATAAATTAGGGCCTAATGAATTTATTTAAATTTACTGATTTCCTTATATGAACTGTAACTCAGTATATGTATGGAAGGTTTTGTTCAAATCAAAAGGGTTGCTATCAAATAGTGATTGAATTCAAATGGATATACCCATGTCAGAAATTAGTGACTGTGCTCCCACCAGCCCGGCAGTACCCAGCTGCCAACTGCAATCATAGAATGGCCTCAACAACCCTTAATATGGTACATATGATTAAAATAGCTAGAAATGCATTAGTCTTCATGTCCTTCATGTAATCAAGATCATGTAAGGTGAAAATATATCTATATACTACGAGAATGTACTGCAAGAATGCATGTTTGGATTAATTTTCTGAACTAGGAGTGCGTGCTTAGTACCCTACTGTACGCCCCGTTCACCCACGACTCCAACACCATCAATACGTTTTCCGACGACAGCCTACAGGGAGATCAGAGACCTGGCAGTGTGTTGCCAGGACAACCTCTCCCACAACGTCAGCAAGACAAAAGGAGCCGATCGTGGACTACAGGAAACGGACGGCCGAGCACACCTCCATTCACATGTAGTAGCGCGGGTCGAGCGCGTCAAGTTCCTCGTTGTACACATCACTAAGGACCTATTGTCGTAGTAAATATATAATGTTATAGCTTGGTCTGACTAAAATCTTGTGCATGACCCATTTTGTGTTGGGCGTTTGTTTTCAATCAATGCTGTTCCTATCCAATAACAATGGACAAAAGGGTCCTATCTTGTCAGCCTTGTCAGCAGGTGGCCAAGGACAACACCCACGCCATAGGTCTCTCAGTTCTTCCAACTCACGAGTTCTTGCTCTGAGGACACACACACACACACACACACATCATCACTGATAACACACACACACACACACACACATACACACACACACACACACACACATCATCACTGTTAAACACACACACACACACACAAAAATCCCCTCTCTTTAGGCTGAACATTTGAAGACAGAGAACCCGACTCAGAGCCAATGCAACAGTGAATGGTCCCTCAAATCCTCAAAAAGTTATACAGCTGCACCATTGAGAGCATCTTGAATGGCTGCGTCAGCAACTGCTTGGCATCCGACTGCAAGGCACTATAGAGGGTGGTGAGTACGGCCCAGTCCATCACTGGGGTCGAGCTCCCTGCCATACAGGACCTCTACACCACTATGTCCTGTGCAGTTAATCAAATGGCTACCCGGACTATTTGCATTGACACCTTTTTAATAATGTATTTTTTCTTCTTCACCGGCTCTATGCACACACTGACACTAACACACACAGACGACACATACATACTCACACAAACGCACTTTCACAGACGCTGCTGCCAGTTTATCATCTACTGGATCTTGATTGCCTAGTCATTTTTACCCCTACCTACATGTACATATTACCTCAACTACCTCGTACCCTACACATTGACCCGGTACCGTTACTCCTTGTATATAGCCTCGTTCTTGTTATTTTATGGTTACCATTTCCTTTTTTTATTTGCACATTTTCTTACCTTTTAACTGCATTGTTGGGAAAGGGCTCTTAAATAAGCATTTCACGGTAAAGCCTACACCTGTTGTAGTCGGCACATGACAAATACAATTTTATTTCAAAATAAAAAAATTGCTTTTAGCGATTCCCTAATCCATAATCTATGCTGCTATGCATGATGTTTTGGCTGATTTTTTTATTGATCCAGTTGGTGGTTCATAAACTCCTGACCCACACTGATGTCTCTGCTAACAATCTTGAAACAGTACAGGAGACAAACATTGAACCATAATAGACAAGTGTTTTTCAACAAAATGATCACATAAAAAATAAATAATAATAACCTACTCCCCAAAAATATGTCAACATGACAGAGCGCTCATCCAATCAATTCTTCAGTTTTCCATGGCATAATGATCTTCAGAGGATGGTTCACTGTTGGTGTTGGTGTTACTGTTACCGTCCGTGTTGATGTTGGTGTTATCGACAATGTTACTGATGGTGCTGGGGTTACCGTCTGTGTTACTGATGGTTTTGGGGTTACCGTCTGTGTTACTGATGGTGTTCGGGTTACCGTCTGTGTTACTGATGGTGTTGGGGTTACCGTCTGTGTTACTGATGGTGTTGGGGTTACCGTCTGTGTTACTGATGGTGCTGGGGTTACCGTCTGTGTTACTGATGGTGTTGGGATTACCGTCTGTGTTACCGATGGTGCTGGGGTTACTGTCTGTGTTACTGATGGTGTTGGGGTTACCGTCTGTGTTGATGTTGGTGTTATCGACAATGTTACTGATGGTGTTGGGGTTACCGTCTGTGTTACTGATGGTGTTGGGATTACCGTCTGTGTTACCGATGGTGCTGGGGTTACTGTCTGTGTTACTGATGGTGCTGGGGTTACCATCTGTGTTACTGATGGTGTTGGGGTTACCGTCTGTGTTACTGATGGTGTTGGGGTTACCGTCTGTGTTACTGATGGTGTTGGGGTTACCGTCTGTGTTACTGATGGTGTTGGGGTTACCGTCTGTGTTACCGATGGTGCTGGGGTTACTGTCTGTGTTACTGATGGTGTTGGGGTTACCGTCTGTGTTACTGATGGTGTTGGGGTTACCGTCTGTGTTACTGATGGTGTTGGGGTTACCGTCTGTGTTACTGATGGTGTTGGGGTTACCGTCTGTGTTACTGATGGTGCTGGGGTTACCGTCTGTGTTACTGATGGTGCTGGGGTTACCGTCTGTGTTACTGATGGTGCTGGGGTTACCGTCTGTGTTACTGATGGTGTTGGGGTTACCGTCTGTGTTACTGATGGTGTTGGGGTTACCGTCTGTGTTACTGATGGTGTTGGGGTTACCGTCTGTGTTACTGATGGTGTTGGGATTACCATCCGTGTTACTGTTGGGGTTACCGTCCGTGTTACTGATGGTGTTCGGGTTACTGTCTATGTTACCATCCGTGTTACTGTTACTCTCGGTGTTGCTCCTAAAAAAGGAGACCCTCGTAACTGTGCTCTTTCCAGCAGTTTCCTTCCCAGATTCAATGCCAACCATGTCTGTAATAACAGATGCACATAAACACAATATGACCAACAACTATAATGTCAATAACATAACATAAAAGGCAATTACAATAAAATGTAGGACAGTTAACACGCTATGTAATACACTAAGTATTCACTTGACTCAATAGATATGTTGAGACCAAGTTATTTTCAAACTTCTTTCGGGAAGTCTGAAGAGGTAAAACTGTAGCTAGCGAACTGAAGGGATAGCTGTGAATGGCACAAACTCAACCTTGGCTGGGAACCATACCATTCTACCTCTTCTGCTGAAGCAAGAACTTGGCCCCTCAACCATCAATGCAGTGTGTGATATATCTTATAGCAGGGTTTTTTCTGGATCAAAAGGGGCTTAGGTGGTGGGCGTGACACATTTTGGAAGTGTAGATGCATTTTTGCATTTAAACCAATTTCCTGAAATTCTACAAATTTCTCCATGGAGCTGAGAGACATTTTTGCAGTTGTAAAACTAACTTACTGCAATTCTAAACAGTTTGCCATGCAGCTGAAAGAAAATGTTGCCGTTTTAAAGCTCATTTCCCTCAATCCTATGAATTTAGCCATGGCTAATGCAGTGTTCTTTTGCTCAAACATAATAAAATCTATACTGCCAAATTCATTGTTTTTGGAATTTTCAATTCTCCCCGTCTACTTTTTATTTAGGTGATTGTTAGTTCTCAAATATTATGTTTAAAAAATATATATAGGTCCATTATCTTTTCTAGATACTTTATATCTGGTTTTAGTCGTTTAAGTTTATACCGAAAGCGTTTTTCCATTACAAAAATGTATTTATATTTATATATAAAAAAATGTTTTTACTGTTTGGACTTACGCGACCTGAAAAAACACATAAGCGACCCGCCCAAGGATTACAATGGCAGAAACATCCCTGCTATTGTACAGGGATTTCACTCACCTTGCATATCAGTGTCATGCCCACCCTCTTGATTTGACTGGATTGCAAAGGAACTCTCTCTGAGCTCTGCAGGACTGAACTGTAGGAAATATAGGAGGACAGGCAGAAACACACCCATTCAATTGAAATGCAATCCATTATGATAAGAGCTTACATTTATTAGCTATAACCACAGAGTGTAAACTTACAGACAGATCCCTGGGGGTGGTGACCGGCTGTGGTCCTTTGCAGCACAGCAGAGAGAAAGGCCTCTGCTTGGTCTTGGGATGCTCCTTGAAACACAGGCTGAACACCTTTGCAGGGAGGCAGACATCCCAGTTGTATGGATGGTCATTCACAAGATCAGACACCATGCTGTTGGGGTGAAGGCCACCATGGTCAAAGTTGAGTATGAAATTAAACACCACAGAAAGGAATGTGTCTAAAACACAAACCTGCTGATCAGGGTCTGTGTGGCCAGATCCAATGATCCAACTTGCCGATGGCGGTATAAGAGAGAGAACCCCCTCAGCTTCAGATGACTGTTCAAGGAAACGTTGATCTGAAACATGAATAAATGTAAACAGCTCATGATTGTCTAATGAACCACTCCTGACCTAGTGACCGCTACTGCATATATGAACCAACATCAAGGTTGTAGCAAGGTAAACTACATGACCAAAAGTATGTGGACACCTGCTAGTCGAACATGTAATTCCAAAATCATGGGCATTAATATGGAGTTGTTCCCCCCTTTGCTGCTATAACAGCCTCCAATCTTCTGGGAAGGCTTTGCACTAGATGTTGGAACATTGCTGCAGGGACTTGCTTCCATTCAGCCATAAGAACATTAGTGAGGTCGGGCACTGATGTTGGGCGATTAGGCCTGGCTCGCAGTCTGTGTTCCAAAGGTGTTCGATGGGGTTGAGGTCAGGGCTCTGTGCAGGCCAGTCAAGTTCTTCCACACCGATCTGAACAACCATTTCTGTAAGGACCTCGCTTTGTGCATGGGGGCATTGTCATGCTGAAACAGGAAAGGGCCTCCCCAAACTGTTGCCACAAAGTTGGAAGCACAGAATTGTCTAGAATGTAATTGTATGCTGTAGTGTTAAGATTTCCCTTCACTGGAACTAAGGTGCCTAGCCCGAACCATGAAAAAACAACCCCAGACCAATATTCCTCCTCCACCAAACTTTACAGTCGCCACTATGCATTGGGGCAGGTAGCGTTCTCCTGGCATCTGCCAAACCTAGATCACTGAGCTCTTTAGTAAGGCCATGGCTGTGTGCTCGATTTTATGCACCCGTCAGCAACGGGTGTGGCTGAAATTGCCGAATACACTAATTTGAAGGGGTGTCCACATACTTAATGTATATACAGTGTATGTGTAACACAAGTATGATGTGACACAAAATATATTTAGCCTCTCACCTTACTGGTAAAGTTCTTCTTCAGTCGAACAAGGATTCCAAAAGGGAAACCAAAGTGAGAGATGACTTCAGCTACATGCTGTGCCACCTCAGTAGAGCTACAACCTCTCAGAGGGAAGGCCTCCACCCATTTGGAGTAGAAGTCTGTCAAGGTCAGAACGTACTGGTGTCCGTTCAATGTCAAGGGCAGCGGCCCTCTAATGTCTATAACCAGCCACTCCCATGCCTCTGTGATCTGGGTAAGAATGGGAGACAATGTATAGTACTGTTTTAATGACACTTATAAAGATGATGTTCCTCAGACCGTTCTTGGTTTTAGATCCAGAGGTTGACTGTCACAATCAAATTAGAAAAAGACAGGCCAATGAATCAACGATCAACTTGTTGGAGGCTCTATTCCTAGCCCTGTATTAGAGACTGAATGTTTATACATCCTTCATTACCTCTATTATGTGCTTGAGGGGTGGAAGTTGGAACTCCATGTTCTCACATGCCACCTGAAAATAAAGTGCACCGTTTATCAAATTCTTAGCATAAGCTATTGGCATGTAGCATAAGCTATTGGTTATTCTAGTGAGTAAACAACTTACCTTCGGGGCAACATCTTTGACAGCCCAGGTAATACTCTGCAAAGATCAATATGGTGAAAATTTGAGAAAATGTCTACTTGGAGCAAAAGCCCAGTAAATAATCCCTGTATATCTGGCAAAGCAATAGTTTTGCTCAACTCAGCGCAAATGAGCATGTGCCAATTGAATCTCAGTTTGCGTAGTACATCAAGGCCGAGTTGAGCAACACAAATTAGGAAAGTCGGTGGTTGTATTCAATAAAAGTTTTTATTAAAAGTATGAATTTCAGCACCCCGCGGAAGGACCACAGTTGTACAGGGAAAACATAGGTACAGGTAAGGTTCAGAATTAATCGACTGATGGTGACTCAACGTTGTTGCTAGCAAATCGCGCGGCCAGCTATCAAAACTCAACTCCGCCTTGATATAAGATAGGAATGGGTAACTCCAGTCCTCGGGGCCGGAGTGGTGTCACTTTTTCCCCCATCCCTAGAAAACACAGCTGATTCAACTAATTACGTTCTAAACTGAAGATCATGATTAGTTGATTATTGGACTCAGGTGTGTTACCTGGGGCAAAAGTGTGACACCCATCAGGCCCCTGAGGACTGGAGTTGCCCATCCCCAAATAAGAGAACGGAGTTGAGCGTTTCTCAGCTAGGTTGCGTCGTACCTTCTTTTGAAAGTTTTTGGGGAAGTCGAATATAGTCGGGATTGCGTCTGGCGTGAGGCGTCGACGTATGTCCCTCCCGCAAATGTACTTGTCTTCAAAGTGAACGGAGCACACACGGTGGTTTTGTTGCGGATTCCACCCTTTACACTTCATATTAATAATCCATTGTTTGCGTCTTTCAGGATCATTTTTGGGGAATCTGTTACCAAAACATTCATACATCATCAAATTGGCATCACAAAAACAGCTATCAAATGAAGAGTAAATCCATTAATGGTTATGTAACTTAGATTTCTAAGAGAACAGCATCGCCACAGCGCATAGATTGTTTTTTTTACAATTATCAAGCTAGCTGATGTCAGCTAGCTAGGTTCTCCTGCACACCATTTGTACTAGTTAGCTGAACCAGACCCCTCTAACCCCCAGAAAGCTCAGATTCAAACTCTACAAGCTGTATAATGACAAAATACATTAGTTGATCACCAAATATAGAGTTTCACTGAGCAACTATCGTAATTTAATCCCGTTACGGCCGGTATGTACTTCCAAAAAATGTCTAAATAAAAATGTACAAGCAACCAAAAAAAGCATCTCCAATGTAAATCACTTGTTACCGCCACACACAGGTCGAAAGTCTACAACAGCTCAATACATTATATAACCACAGTAAAAAAAAGAAATCTGTTTGGATATTGGTTTGATATTCGGAGTTTGCTCGTCAATACCTCTTCCATGGAAGGTCCTATGATGATTAGGGTGATATATTTAGAATCAGATGACGAGAGAGAGAGAAAGGTACAGCCTTTCTTTCTCCATTCCGTTTTCAAAAAGTGACTTTAAGTTGGTTTCAATTGGAGAATATTATGCACTCGTGGCTAAAGGACTGTCTTAAAAGTGCAATCAGCCAAACCTGGTGTTAACAGGAAAACTATGTCTCAATTAAATGATCTAGAGATCTTAAACCAACTGTTTTTTCTCACAACAATTACATCATGAAGATCATGAATTGTTGATTATTGGACTTTTGGGTGTTAGCTGGGGCTGGGGCAAAAGTCTGACACCGATCAGGCACCCAAGGCCTACTTGCATGACCTAGAGAGCTAAAATTACCCTATTCCATGACACTCCGATTAGAATTTTAAAGTTCTGATTATAAATAATTATAATCTTTAATGGCTTCCAATCCACGTGCTAGAGATCTACAGACAAGTGTGGCGTGTTCCTGACCTCTATTAAACCAAATTACTTTTTCAAAACTCCTCCCCTTTGATTTTCTAGTCCACATGACATATATGTCTAAAACCACTCAATGATAGGTCACTGATCTCCCTCCTCCATAGTACACCCATTAGAAAGGCAATTTTCCATTTCACATGAATATTTCCTGTGATAGGTTTAATTTTCAATAGCTCACTGTCCATATGAGTATAGATATACGGACAAGTGTGGTGGGTCTTATAAAAAAGGTACATATTTTTATTTTTTATTCCTCCCCTTTGTTTTACTACAAATATTTATCCTATTACAACTGTGGTTATTAATTCACATACAGATCTAATTTTCAATAGCTTCCAGTCCAAATTACATACATCTAAAACCACTTGGGTTTAGGTCTTTGACCTCCCTTGTCAATATGTAACAGTCTTGCTTCCATCCCTCTCCTTGCCTCGAACCAGGGACCCTCCGAACACATTGACAACAGTCACCCACAAAGCATCGTTACCGATTGCTTCACAAAAGCTGCAGCTCTTGCAGAGCAAGGGAAATAACTAAAACGCTACTAGCTCGCACCACTAACTAAACTCAGCAAAAAAAAGTAATGTCCCTTTTTCAGGACCCTGTCTTTCAACGATAATTAGTGAAATTCCAAATTACTTCACAGATCTTCATTGTAAAGGGTTTAAGACAGCGCTACAGGGAGACAGGACGGACCGCTGATCGTCCTCGCAGTGGCAGACCACGTGTAACAACACCTGCACAGGATCGGTACATCCGAATATCACACCTGCGGGACAGGTACAGGATGGCAACAACAACTGCCCGAGTTACACCAGGAACGCACAATCCCTCCATCAGTGCTCAGACTGTCCGCAATAGGCTGAGAGAGGCTGGACTGAGGGCTTGTAGGCCTGTTGTAAGGCAGGTCCTCACCAGACATCACCGGCAACAACGTCGCCTATGGGCACAAACCCACCGTCGCTGGACCAGACAGGACTGGCAAAAAGTGCTCTTTACTGACGAGTTCGAGGTTTTGTCTCACCAGGGGTGATGGTCGGATTCGCGTTTACCGTCAAAGGAATGAGCGTTACACCGAGGCCTGTACTCTGGAGCGGGATTGATTTGGAGGTGGAGGGTCCGTCATGGTATGGGCCGGTGTGTCACAGCATCATCGGACTGAGCTTGTTGTCATTGCAGGCAATCTCAACACTGTGCGTTACAGGGAAGACATCCTCCTCCCTCATGTGGTACCCTTTCTGCAGGCTCATCCTGACATGACCCTCCAGCATGACAATGCCACCAGCCATACTGCTTGTTCTGTGCGTGATTTCCTGCAAGACAGGAATATCAGTGTTCTGCCATGGCCAGCGAAGAGCCCAGATCTCAATCCCATTGAGCACGTCTGGGACCTGTTGGATCGGAGGGTGAGGGCTAGGGCCATTCCCCCCAAAAATGTCCGGGAACTTGGTGGAAGAGTGGGGTAACATCTCACAGCAAGAACTGGCAAATCTGGTGCAGTCCATGAGGAGGAGATGCACTGCAGTACTTAATGCAGCTGGTGGCCACACCAGATACTGACTGTTACTTTTGATTTTGACACACCCTTTGTTCAGGGACACATTATTCCATTTCTGTTAGTCACATGTCTGTGGAACTTGTTCAGTTTATGTCTCAGTTGTTGAATCTTGTTATGTTCATACAAATATTTACACATGTTAAGTTTGCTGAAAATAATCGCAGTTGACAGTGAGAGGACGTTTCTTTTTTTGCCGAGTTTAGCTAGCCATTTCACACGGTTACACATAGTACAGCCATTAGATTTGCCAATTTTTATATGAATTTTTCCTGTGATAGGTATAACTTTCAATAGCTCACTCTCCATATGCGCTAAAAGGTCTAAGATCCCTCCCAATGTGTTTTCCAATTTCAGAAATAATTTAATAGAAAGGCTCAGTATAGAGTACAGTGTATTTATAGAAAATCAAAAGGTGAGTTATTTTGAAAAAAATTAAAGGTGTACCTTCGATAAGAGAGGTCAATGAACCCACCGCAATTGTCTGTAGATCTGTAGCCCATAGGGACAGTGAGCTATTGAAAATTAGATCCATCACAATAACTATTCATGTAAAATAAAAAATGTCAATTGTAAGTGGTGTAGCCTATTATAGATGAGGGAGGTCAGATGGATAGGAAGGTATTGAAACTTAGACCTATCACAAGAAATATGCCTATAAAATCTGAGAAGTGGTAAACTGGAATTCTATTGAATGTAGTATGGATGAGGGGGGGGTCAGTGACTTCACATGTGGTTTTACATTTCCATTTAGCATAATAATAAGCCATTTAGCAGACGCTTTTATCCAAACCGACTTATAGTCATGTGTGCATACATTTTTACGTATGGGTGGTCCCGGGGATCGAACCCACTAGCCTGGCATTACAAGCACCATGCTCTACCAATTGAGCTACAGAGGACAATTATTGTAAATTGGTCAAATATAGCATAGTAGTTAGACGTAAATGTTGGGCCATTCTGCGACTGGAGGCCCTATGCAGTTTGTGTAATCTTCATATAGGGCTAACCCTCCTGGATGGGAATGAAAGAAAATGTTTTTGCTTATGTGCAATCACCGTTATTGCACTTTTACGACGGTCCCTAGACCACCTGAGCACCAGAAAACGGCATATTGCCTCCTTTTCGTCACTGTTATGGGTAGAGTTCTACCACAGATCAAGGAGCCAGATATTTCACAGAATGTATAAATGTGAAACATCCGTTGGCGTTTCCACTCACTACCAAATATGGTGAGGAGAGGAAGCTAATGGGGTGGGAAAATTCCTTATTTTGTAGTTTTTTTCATTTAACTGTTACAATGTTATAAATCCCTCAAACTTGTGAAACTTAAAAAGGTTGAAAAATTATTAGAAGTCATGTCCCTGAATGTCAGTTAATGTCTCATTGCCTTGTATTCACAGGAATGTCCATGTATTGATGTGTAATATTGTTATTATTGTTGCAATAAATAAATCATAAAAAATAAAAACAATTACTCTCTACCGTCATCTGATACTAGATATATCACTATTCATCCTAGGACCTTCCGTCGGAGATCTATTGACGAGTTAACTTCGAATATCCGAAAGGAAAAACAAGTTACTGCGGTTAGTTTGAATCGGAGCTTTCTGTTTCACTAGCTAGCTGGCTAGAACTTTAGCATGCGTTTGTTTAAGCTAGCTAGCTACCGTAATAATTGTGTTAGCCAGGCATCAAACGTGGCTCTCGAGGTAGACGGTAAAACTTACCTAAAAAATCCTACACCAGCTTTGGGACTGCGGTTTTTGCAGTTGTATGCTGAACACAGTGACAGCGTTGGCATTTTTGTCGCTGTGTGAAATGAATAAAATAAAACACGCGGGACAACTAACTAGCTAACCACTCTCTTGAGGTGATGCCTGCAATGTTGCCAATTATTTTTAGTGAGCATTCTTCTTTGTTAGGGATTTACGACGGACTACTTCAAACACGTATTGCCGCCATCTACTGTGCGGGATGAAAATAAAAATATTCCAAAAGACAAACGATGAGGATAAAAATACTCATACTGACTACCCGAAAATGACTTATCAACCTGCTCCTTGCTTCATCTGTTAAAATCAATAATCAATGTCTGATCTCCATTGCCTCACGTCAGATAGCGCGACGGCCGTCTGCACTGATCTGAAATAGCTGTACGGAGGTCAAATGTTTCATCGATGAGAAAATTAGCAGAATGTCGGCCCAAAATCCATCTCCATCTCCAAAACACACGTTCTCATCTCAAGATGTTAAATAAATTAAGTAAATAAATGACTATAGTAAGTGCCTAAGTGCCAAATAAAGTAGCAGGGTTTTCATCTTAAATCAGCAAAAGATCTGCCAATTTCAAAAATAGACATTTCTGTGAAACTGTGTACATTTTACTTGTGGATTTTGAAAATAAAAATAAAAAATGAAGATGTGTCAATTTGTTTGCCTACATGCCATTTTAAAAACAATGATTGTAGTAAACCTATTTTGGGTTAAGACAAGTATAAATGAGTAAGGGCAAACATCATGTTAAGCTTGCAAACAAGACATCCGATTACCTTTGATTTAATTGCCACAGAAACCTCTGGCACTCTAATCTGTGGAGGGGATTTTAACATGATTTTAAACTCAAAGTTGGACAGCACAAATCAAAATAGGAAAATGAGCCTGGTTGCTAAAAAGATCAATAGGATATTACAGGATTTAGGACTGCTTGATGTATGGCGCGACATCCACATGTCAGATAAGGAATATACTTTTTACTCAGCCCGCCACACTGAATACTCCAGGTTAGACTACTTTTTACTCAGCCCGCCACACTGAGTACTCCAGGTTAGACTACTTTTTACTCAGCCCGCCACACTGAATACTCCAGGTTAGACTACCTTTTACTCAGCCCGCCACACTGAATACTCCAGGTTAGACTACTTTTTACTCAGCCCGCCACACTGAGTACTCCAGGTTAGACTATTTTTTACTCAGCCCGCCACACTGAGTACTCCAGGTTAGATTACTTTTTACTCAGCCCGCCACACTGAATACTCCAGGTTAGACTACCTTTTACTCAGCCCGCCACACTGAAAACTCCAGGTTAGACTACTTTTTACTCAGCCCGCCACACTGAATACTCCAGTTTAGACTACTTTTTACTCAGCCCACCACATTAGACTACTTTTTACTCAGCCCGCCACACTGAGTACTCCAGGTTAGACTACTTTTTACTCAGCCCGCCACACTGAGTACTCCAGGTTAGACTACTTTTTCGTGTACAGTGCAGATCATAATGGAGTTTACCTAACTCTACACCTCGATAGCAAACCAATAAATACTATATGGAGGCTTAATACAAGCATGTTGAATGATCCAGCATTCAAGGAATCAATAAAGACAGAATTTAACGTCTATCTGGAGAATAATGATAACGGGGAAGTGTCTCCTGCTACATTGTGGGATGCAGGCGGTTATCAGAGGGAAGATCATAGCCACATCATCTCTCAAGAAAAAGATTAAAGCACAGAAAATGCTGAAATTACAGGAAACATTAGGAAGCTTAGAACGATTTCACAGTCATTTCAAAGACCCTCTTATTTACGTGAGATTCAAAAGGTAAAACAGGAAATTGACCAGATTTATAGTGAAGAAGTAGAGAAAAAACTCAGGTACCTGAAACAACAATATTATGAAGCAGGCTCAAAGGCAACAAAATTACTAGAGTGGAGACTCAGAAAACAAGCACAAAATACAATTTTCAAAATAAAAGACCCCAAAACAAAGAAGATTACATGCAAATTGGATGAAATACAGAATGCATTTGAATCATACTATACAAATCTGTACAAGCAACCAGAGAAGGCAGATGCATAGACAATAGAGCATTTTTTGAACTCACTTGATCTCCCCTCAATTGGGACAGAGCAAAATAATAGACTTACTTCAGAAATAACCACTGAAGAAATTAATAATGCACTATCTAATCTAAAAGCTAACAAATCTCCAGGCACTGATGGCTTCCCTTCGGAATGGTTCAAAGCCTTCAGAGAACAACTAACACCTCTACTTCAGGCCTGTTTTAACTGGACTCTGCAGGAGGGGGATCTTCCACCATTGTGGAGAGAAGCCATAATATCTGGAATTCCAAAAGAGGGTAAAGATAAGAAGGAATGCAGTTCCTATAGACCTATCGCAATTCTTAACATTGATTATAAACTATATGCATCAATAATAGCCCAAAATAATGGAGGACATAATCCCAAAATTGATTGACGTGGATCAAACTGGTTTCATACGAAATAGACAGACACAGGACAAATAAGGAGAACACTACATGTCATGGACCACATCACTCAGGATAAGACAAGTGCTATATTAATCAGTCTAGATACAGAAAAAGCATTTGATTCAGTGGGATGGGATTCTCTATTCCAAGTTATGGATAGATTTGGTTTCAACAAAGAAGTGATACAGTGCATGTCCGACTTCCAGAATAAAGATTAATGGACATTTGTCATGAACAATACATTTAGAACGAGGGGCAAGACAAGGCTGTAATCTTTCACCTACTCTCTTCTCCTTGTACATCGAGCCGTTAGCACAGGCAATAAGACAGGACCCATCTTTAGAGGGAATAACAATAAGAGGCATGTATGCTGATGATGTTCTCTTATTCCTTAAAGACCCAGGTTCAAGTGTACCTAGATTGATGGATGTTTTACAAACATTTGGAACATATTCAGGGTATGTGCTTAACATACACAAGACCCAAGCCCTAGTATATAATTATACCCCACAGCAAGAGCTGAAGAGTAGGTATAACTTCAAGTGGACCTCTTCATCCATTCAATATCTTGGAGTAAATCTACCAAAAGATACACCCAGGGGGTGTATTATTTTGTGTCAGCCCAATTGAGACCTCTGGTGTGTTGGTGCAATTCAGAATATGAATCCAAATGAAAGACATCGAGACTACTTTGACTGAGGTACCCATACAGTCAGTTTTGGGTAATAAGGACATGGCAATAGAAATATACAAAAGACAAAATCAGTGGATTAGTTTCTCTCTTAAGACAGGGTTTAGGGTAGTTAAGCAAATTCATTTTGACAGAGAGGTCAAACTGCTGAGCTGGCCCGCATATGACCCCAGCTTCCTCCCTGCAATTCAGGATAGCAGATTTAAACAGTGGACGCAAAAAGGCATCTGGGGATCTAGAGAACTTCCAGGACCTAAGTAAAAAACATGGCTTGGATAAACAAGATTTTCACAGGTACCTACAGGTTCGACACTACTTTTTAGAAGAAATAAAAGTGATTGACCCTCGGGCACCTCAGAAATTGATCCAAGTATTCACTAACGCATACAACTTGGGGAGTTTCAAAAAACGATTTCAAATCTTTACTTGGGTATTCTATCTTCAAAGAAACACTCAACAAACTATATTAAACATAAATGGGAGGAGGAACTTAACACTGAAATAACTGATGAAACATGGTTGAACATATTTGAGACTCAATTAACTCAAGGACTTGGAGAGAATTCTGTTGGAAGAATGTTATACGTTTCTTCATAACACCTAAATTGAAATCAAAACAGACTGGCTCCCAACACCCTTGTTGGAGAGAATGCGGGCTATCAAGGGCGGATCACACTAATATATTTTGGTCCTGCCCCGCGACTGATACTTACTGGGGAGAAATAAGATATAACATTGGAAAAATAATGGGTTTTGACATGGAACAAACATTCATTTCTTTGTATTTGGGTGAAATACCCAATAACTTACACAATAGAGAAAAGTACCTGTTGAAGGTCCTACTGGCAGCCAGTAAAAAGGCTATCACTAGGAAATGGCTACAAAAAGACCCTCCCACCGTGACACAATGGCTAGACATTGTTAAAGAAATACATTATATGGAGCGTATGACCTTTGCTTTAAGAACTCATGAGGAGAGTGGCCAGGAATACTGGGAAAAATGGGTTTCGTACTTGAAAATGGTCTAATTCAAAGATGATGTTACTGTAACTAATCTGATGAATGTATGATGTGTGCTGTACCTGCCAGACCTTTTTTTATTTTATTTTTTTAGTTGTTTTATTTAAACAATTTTTTGTGTGTTCTTCAATAAAAACAAGGTAAAAAATATATATATAAAAAAGACATCCGATTACCACTTTTGCATTTAAAACGGTTGACCTTATTATAGCTAACAATTAACCAAATCATTGATGGATCACTAGATAAAAGAAAACATAGAAACCATCGGTGTGAAAACTCCCCAAAGGCACCCTGAAAAGTAGCTGAATTTGTCACTAGACACTTTTACCAATAAAGTCACTGAAGGGTTCTGAAAACTCGCTAAATATAGTGACAAAGTCACTAAATTGGCAAGACTGGAGGCCACCAGATGGAAGTATCACACTCTCACACTCACCACACATAATCAAACCAGAGATATGATATAATGACAATGGCATTCGTTGCTCCCGCCTATTCCTCTTTGGATTGGTGGATACATCTTGTTATTTGAATAATTATTTTGAATTTTTGATAAGGGGTGTTGACCTCAACCGTGTGTATTCAATGGAGAGCGAGATGCTTGCCTTATGAATATGCATAGACCATCTCGAATTTCAACAGGGACTCCAATATTAAGTGTTTTTTTCTCAAAGGTGCCAGTATTTCACGTGCATCACACTTATATCAGTACACTCGTAACAACCTAAGCATTATGAAACTTATATTAGACCAAATAAGCCTCACTTATCAAAATAGCAATTCATGTTTATCTTGACTAAATTCGACACCCTTTCATTAACCCCCATACAAAAACTCCTCGTCTGCTTAACAATTAAGGATCTGCTTAACGTGGGCAGATTTTGGGCAGAGATAGAGCTCTCACTTTGCCTCCCTCTCTCTGATCAAACATGTTGTTTT